AATTAAATCGCGGTCAAAAATCAGATTTTTGAAAAGTTGACCACTTTGGCATCGAAATTATAAATTTCTCAAAAAATGAAATTACTATATTATTAACTATATTATTATTTTTATCATCAAACCATTAATTTCGATAGATAGATCGAATTTATACAAAATCAAAAACACATACACACACACACACACACACACACACAAGTAGATATATCGAACATTATCGAAACATCATCGTGCGAATTATCTATAGGGGTTGAATTGCAAATCGTTTCGAACACTCTCATTCATTCGAGGCACTTAGGCAAATACCGTTTTTGGTGGCGCGGAAAACAGAGCCTGATCCTAGAGTGGATTGATGAATTTCCAGCGAGTTAACATCCTGAATGAGGGAAGTTGAAAAAGAAGAAGAGAAAAAAAACAACTAAAAAAGAAGAAGAAGAAAAAAAAAGGAGAAAATACAAGCTCACCCTGAGACTTGGGAGATGATTAGATTCTGCCACGTGCCCATTGTGCCAGCCATCGACGTAACGCCCCTTCCTGTGCGCGCGTGTGCGTGTCATTCATGCGTGTCACTGCTACAATGCGAAGACGCAGAATCGTAATCTCCCATCAATTCGAATCGAGGCTGGACTTTGAGACAATTTATTGTTCCACGAGATTATCGATTCCACTGTCGTTACCTCTTCGAGTTTTTTTCACAGAATTTTGGAATAGATTATTATATTTCTCGAGGGAGAAAATTCGTTAGTTAGAGTTTTTTTTTTTTTTCTAATTTTCTCGAATCTCTTAATTTTTATAGCACATAGGTTAATCACATTCCGAATTATATCACTTCAAAAACAATATGTCATTTTGATATTAATATTCGAAGAATTTACGATTTCAAATTTTTGCCGAGGCGTTAATCTAATACGATAAAAATTCTCCCCTCCCTCCCTCCCTCCCTCTCTCCGATAAATTACGATCAGTCAAAAAACAACGATTCAACTTTTGATGCACGGTACGCGTGTAACGCGATTGCCCCTCCCCCCTCCCCCTTTGTGAAATAATGCCAACTCTTCGGGACAGTGTTATATTGCCCATAAAGCCGAAACCTCCCCCTATAAGTTCGCCGGCCGACAATTAAATGTAAATCACGTATTTGCGCGAAAGTGTAACGCAAACACTCGGTAAACACGAGACAAACTACCAACGGGGGGATCGTTTGTGACGGGTAACTCGAACGCACGCGCGCGAATTGCGGTTACACGGTATTTAGAAACCGATTTCCCCCGATGAACGTGTCTCTCTCTCTCTCTCTCTCTCTCTCCCCCTCCCAAAACGGGAGATCTACCCCCCTGAAAAAAAAAAAAATCACGCAGGAAAATAGGGGAACGATTTTGCAATCCCCGTGGCTAATTCCTGCATCCAATACCGGGGTATCGTAACGAGGTTTCGCGAAAGGGAGTCTCTCTCTCTCTCTCTCTCTCTCTAATCGTCTAATCGTCATGGAGCGCACCCTTCTTTCGGCAGAGGGAAATTTCTAATCGAGGAAAGATAAGAGGCAGAGAGGGAAGAGCACAGAGAAAGAGAGAGAGAGAGAGAGAGAGAGATTTCAATCTTGGCAACGATCAAGATTTCCCATCGAGACGACGAGCTATTTGATTTTCAACCCCATCGTCCCTTTGACTTGATCGAGGCCAGAGAAAGAGAGAGGCGTACACGATCGACTTTGGGCGCGGTGGTTTTTATCGAGTTACGCAACGAAAGGCAGTCGGCCAAGTTCTTTGTCTAGCGGGCCATCTGTCATCCCCCTCCCCCTCGAGAAGCGAGGAGAGCCTCCAACATCGCCGTCGGAGGAGGAGGAGGAGGAGGAGGGAGGGTGCAGTGACAACGGCGTGGGCGTTTACGACGACCTACTTGCGCCTCGTAAACGGTTCGCCTCTGCCCATACACNTTCCCACGCCCGCGTGCACGCCAACAGGGGGAGGTTGGGGGAGGACGAGGGGGGCAGATACGAGATCCCGATAAAAGTGAGATAGCGCGCGAGACAAGTAGCGGAGAAGCGGACCTCTGCAAGGAATACGTATGTGTGTATCGGGTATTGATTTTCCACGTACGGAGTTACGTGCGGGGTAAAGCCGAGACGCGACAAAGTTTATTAATCCTGGGGGCAGCAGACGCGTCTGCGTAGCCACGGCCACGAAACGCGCGCTCCACGGGAGGATACGAAACTTTTGATGTTGTTTCGCCGCTTTGAGGAAAAAAATTTCAACGCGCTTTTCTTCCTTTCCATCTCCTTTTTTTCTTTTTTTTTTTTTTTTTTTTTTTTGAATATTTAATCTCTCTATTGGAGAGTCCGCGTCAATGAATGAATTTTCGGCGACTCTCGATCGAGAACGTAGAACGTATATATTTATTTGAGATATTTATTTGAGATTTAAAAAGATGGGTCGAGGTGAAGATCTTTTAACGAGAGGAAATATATATATATAGTTTTTTTTTCTGTGATAAAGGTATTACCAAAGGGAGGAAGTGTCGTAGCACACAAGTTTCTATTTCCGAATCTAAATCGATACAAGATTTCTAAATTAATTATTCGGTAGATGAGAAATTTATGCGAAAGTATCGAGCACGAAAACTATTGTTAAATTCATTGCTCTGATGCAACTATATCCTTAGTTTCGTTTAATTTTTCGCAATTTCGATTCGGAGTTAATATTCAAAATTAAGTTTCGGTAATAAAAAATAAAGTTTCTATACGGATTCATTTGTAAATGGATGAAATACGTGATAATAATCGATATAATTATATAATTATATAATTATATCTACGCGAATCGTTGTAAATATTACAATGTTCTCAAAAGAAATTATCCATTAGAAGATATTAGATAGAGTAGATTTTTAAAATAGAAAGAATAAGAATAATAAGAAAGAATTAAAGAATTCGTGTCTCTATTATCTACACCTACCTATCGTAATTTTATAAAGACGCGTTTCTATTCTTTACAATTAATCTCTCTAGTTTCGAATCCTTGCGTATCGTAGCCAAGAGCCTCGTTAATTCGCTTGGATGGAAGTTTGTACCGGTCGACGGTATAAATTGGTCAACTTTTAGGCGCAGAAACGGTGGAAAGGAACGCTGGGGGAGGGGAACGTCTAATACATCATAAACTTGGGAACAAAGAGGAGAGGGAGAGAGGATGTCGTGGAGAGAGGAGCGGAGAATCCACCGTCCCCGGGACAAAACTTTGCCTATTTGTTAAGTCTTGCCCGCTGAAACTGTCTCAGATACTGGCGTCGAACTACGCCTCACACCTATGACCTCCTTAATCTCGTCCTTCTTCCTTCCTTACCCTCCGTTGTCTCGATGCATCCTAGTACTAGGTTGAATAGGGGGCCGAAAACGCGCATTCTGATTTCGTGAAATTTCGTTGTTTCGGGGGGAAATTGATGATGGAACGCGAAAGAAAATGAAAGGGACGGGAGGGGAGAAATTGTAGACTCTTACGAAATTTGTTTTAATGTTATTCTCGAACAACGACGAAAGTTGTTCTTTCTTTTTTATTAATTCGGAATTTATTTCAATTCGAGTAGAAAGAGTTCTTGATAGGTGAAAACATTATTGATTATATATATATATATATTTTTTTTTATTATGTTTTAGCCTTTAACAAAGGCTAATAATAAAAAATATTGTTAACAAGTCGCTCAAAAAAGAACTGAAAACAGCCAATTCAGGAAACAGTCGAACGCAAATTATACTTCTTTTTTTTTTATCTTCTGTAAATTAAATTTATTGATTGTTGAAGATAAAAAAAAAATATATATATATGTATATGTATATTATAAAAGTTTGTTCAATATAAAAATATACCATTCCTTGTATATACAAATAAATTAAAAATTCGATAAATAAACAATAAATATAAAATTGAATACGAAATACCTTAAATGATACAGAAAACGAGTCACGATTGTCAAATAGCCACGTATTATCATCGACTACAATCAACTATTTTCTAATAATTGTAACTTCTTCAAATTTATTTATCATTTTCCACCGATTTTTTTTTCCCTCGTTTCGAAACAGAGATTCAACTCTTCGAGAAAAACACCAACTTGAAGACTCTACGACGCGACGATGCAAATTAGGGGAAAGACGCGCCAACTATTTCGAGCCTATCGGGAACTAAATCCGCGTTGGGAGCGAGAATTCGAAATTAAAAAGTTTCGAGCGACGAGGCGCGGTCATCTGCATCTAAATTTTCTCCGGCGCAAGTTTCGGTCGTCGCTCGCGCGATTGTTTCAAAAG